AGAAATAAACGAGAGAGAGATAGCAAAGAGTGTTATTGTATAATTTTTTTTATATGTCTATTCTTAATGTGCGGATTTTACACAGCTGTTTCGTTACAACGACGAGACAGCATCGCTGACGACCAAGTGCGCGTAAAGGTAACGGAACTGTCGATATTAATTTTTTACGGGCACTAAAATGATCAGCCATTGTTGAGATAACGATTGACGTGATAAATTATGCGAAAGTCAAAAACTTCTTCGATCCGTTCAATGACAATTCTCGCTTGATACCACTTTGATCGGCTTGATCGAAGATATTCTCTGGTATCTTGTCTTTAATATCGCGTTTCTTTAGCGATTCGCTTCAATCTTTACGCAAAACGTCCGACCTGCTGCACCTCAGCGAGTCATTGGATGCGGACGCATTTTAATTTCCGTCGCGTAGATAAAGCGAATCGGTTGAACGGACGGAGGAGGCCTTATCACGATATTGCTCAACAACCTGACTACCGATTCCCAACCGGTTCGCCAGTCTTGGGGTGTGTTTGTACCCGTTCTAACCACTTTATAGAGACATACGCATATGCGTATATTTATATATGTATGTACAAAATAGAAAGAAAGAAAAGTAAAAAAAAAGTGAGAAAAACGCCTACTTCGGTCGCTGGCAATCGATTCTTTTCCAAAACCTATACCGATAACCAGGAAAAAGAGTTGCTTGAGTTCTTCATATCATCGAAACAGAAAAAGCGAACCGTGCTCGCGCGCGATAAATCGATGATTATCGTCATTCGAGATCTCAAGTTTAACTCTTTTGTGCGCGTTATTATGAACATTTAATTATCCCGGACTGTGTGAATTTGGCAAAATCAATGACGTGAAATTGACGATGACAATTCGTCAGTAAGAATACGAGAAGAGGTATTCTTTTTGGTGATGAGTATATAAAGACTCAAAATCCTCAAAACATAAGACAAACTTTTCTCTTCGAGATTTCGTTCTCAGGTATTCAGCGCATTCAAAGTTCTCTTTTTAATTGCGCTCTACATGGACATGATTGGTACCTAGTTTAAGGGCACGAATTAACTGATTGTATCTCCCTTCTTTTCTCCCGTATTTCCTCGCGATTTAATTTCTGCGGAAAAGGTCTCTTAGGCGATGACCGTCGCGCGACCTTGATAAAAACAAGTCTCCCTGCCTCGAGCCTTCTTTAGCAACCTGTGCGAAAGGTTAAATAGCTGCTTTCGGCTATGCACAACCTAACTAAGTGGAATAAGTAAATAGGTAGGTAGAAACACGAAGCATGAGATGATGAGTTAGTCAAGAAGATAGATAGATAGAAATAGTTCACAGATTATCGACGCATAAACTATGTGTGGCGTCTTCATTATTTGTTTCACATTGTGTCGCTTCAAATTAAATTACTGGGGGGGGGGGGGTGGAGACACACAACATACATACTCTGTTCGGTTACATATGAAGCGACGCATTGAACACATGTCACATAACTTGACCTATTCTTGCTCTTATTATAATTAGTATAAGTCTTTTTCGTATTTTCTACATATCTTTTTTACTTCTCGCATACAGCCATTTGAGTCAGTTGAATCATCCTTTCGATCAGGTTTTTCTTAAAGATTATATTTGCTTTTTTTTCACTCCTTTTGCATCCGGAGTTTTGTTTCCCTCTCTCGCCGTATTTAGAAAATGAGCTCGACTGTACGGCTAACATCGCGTATTCTATTGGGTGCAATAAAATGAAGCAGATGCTGCCGCGGCAAATCGCTCTTTTTGATATGCTTCATCTTTCGGCCGTCGTCGACCGGCAGAGAAGGGATATGAACATAACGCGGGATTGACCAATTTTTTCGTTTTTTTTTTTTCTAATAACACGAGTCGATCCCGCCGAAATGAAAATTTCATTTTTAATATCACTTCAAGATATCGCGCAGATATTAGCACGTGTCTTCCTTGTTTTTAAATAATGAATTACTTTGTTTTGTAAAGCAAGATACATGCATAGAAGTATCGCGAAATATACTAGCATGTAGACATGTTTCGCGGTCATAAAATACACTTTCAACATTAATATCGATAAGTTTCTACACATATACACACATATGTACATAGATTTGCATATATTTGGATATATATATGGACGTGAATAAATATTTATATACATATAGATTACAGACATATATTGACACGAGAGAAAGAGGAGAACTACGCTCTAACGGCAAATAATAATAATTAATATTATTACTATTATTATGATTATATTTACCCTCATATCAATGTTATTGGCTTTAGTTTAATGTAGCATCGCGCTGCCGGTATTTCTTAAATCAAGATAATTATATTACACGGTCATAATGATGTTAACTTTTGAGCACGGCTTATAAAAGGAAATAAGATGCTATATAACAATTATAATACATTTTATGTCATACATAATTACGTATACAAAACATATAACACAATTATATGTTAGATATGCATAAATAAAAACAACAGTATATACGCAAATAATAATACGCATAATTATGTATGATTAATCGCAACCCAAGTTTATGATATATATTTATAAGTATACATGTACATACATGTACGTGTACATACACATACACATACACATACATACATACATTCATATGCAACATAATAATGCAGTTCGGAACACGGGCGACCACGACAATTTTCCGATGACGGTTCATGGATGGGGATTCATGAATCGTGAAGGACACATTAGAAGCTCAGTCAAAGATCGCGAGAGATTCTTAAAGATAATTAACACTGACATTCTTTTGTATACTTTTTATAGACTTTTTTGTATTTCGCATTAATTTTTCGCGGAATCGGTATATCAATGGCATATACATAACGCGCGCGATTAGCTACTTCTAGATAATTTGGAAATGCCATTCAAAACTTTAAAAAATTTATTATCTTCGTTATTATATACTGCGCTCGAGTGTTCTCCACATTTATCATATTCCGTATAAGACGTTTTTTTACGTCTCCATATTTTTTTCTACGCTAAATATTGAAATAGATTTATATATGAAATATGTAATTAAAGTCATCGCCAAGAGTCAGGTTACGATATTATACATAACCCGAAAAACCGAGCAAGAATACGCTCGTTATATATTAATTTAGGATGATAGCAGTGGCTTGAATATAATTTATTACTATTTTTACGGTTACTAATAATCCGTATACATTTTTTTCGCGCATGCACGAGAAATCAACGTGAGAAGTCGGTGCGGATCTCGATAAAAATACTCCAAAAATATTAATTCGCAAATTATTTCACATCGAATCACATTATTATACATATGGAATTTTAATTCGCAATCTGCATGTTCTTTGATTTTTAAGATTTATAACTTCAAGTCGCTTATCATGCAGAAATATGTAATAATAATGAGATCAGCGAATCAGTGTTCTTATAAATTGCGAATATAATGAATTAATGAACGAAAGTTCGTTAACATTCTTAATTATCGACCGATATTTTAATCCTTTCCGACCAGACTTCTCGTATTTGATTGAAGAGTGTTCCTTTGCTTTAGACCGACGGTAAATTAAGCGTTAGATCATAGGATGAACGAAAGGAAACTCGACAATGTATACCTCGCAGTAAATTTTGTACCGTATGGGAACGAAAAAGCCTCCTCTCGCGTGAACTCTTGCTTTGCCGCATTTTTCATTTGCACGTGTGTCCGACCTGTGAGTTCTCTGTATCGTGCCAAATTGAGAGGGAAGAAGAGACGAATATAGTATGAAATATAAAAAAGGAAGATAGTAGTTGATTGAGGTCTGGCTCTTCAGCCGTATCGTAGATATATTTAACGTGCGATAGAGATCGGGGTCTCGACATTCGGCCCTAAGAATGCATTTTCCCTATTCCTTTTTTATTTCCTTTTTGTTTGTTTGTTTTTTTTTTTTTTTTGTAATAAAGATAGAATTGTAGATCTTCTCTCGGCAAGGATCTTTTTCATCAAAAATTGCTCAGAGAATAACCTGATTGACATCTCATTTTATTTTTAACATTCTTAATTGGGAACATTTTTATGTCTAGAAATATAAAAAACATTTGTTTTTTTAGGCACAAAGTAACTATGTGTGTGTGCAATAACTTTTAACTTTATTATTTTCACACACACATAGGAAAAAGTTGCGAATATTATATAATTTATTTATAAATGAAGTGTAAGAAAAGAAAAACTTACCTCACAAAAAGTATGATTAGCTTTTTCCCTTTTCTTTTTTTTTTTCTTTTTTTTTTTTTTTTTTTTTTTTTTTTTTTTTTGTAATAAAGATAGAATTGTAGATCTTCTCTCGGCAAGGATCTTTTTCATCAAAAATTGCTCAGAGAATAACCTGATTGACGGATCGCGAGGGTGTTTCGTTTTTCTCTCCATCTTATAGTCTATTCTTTTTCTTTATTTTCCGGTACAGTTATCTCTTGAAGATTTTTCCCGGGTCATTTTTCATTCCTTTTCAACGTGTTCGAGACGACAGCACAGAAATTAAGCCACACTTTGGAACGAGATTTCGCAAGAAAGAAAAGAAATCATATTTGTTTCCATTTTTATAGACAATGTCATTAAAACATATAGATGAATATTTATGAAATAGTAATTAGTGTGGTTTTGAATTAGCAGAACTAGATATTTATATTTAGAGATTAGATAGTTGTAGATTTTTATAAGACACAGCATATACGTGCACATGAATAAACACACATTTTTCATGATTGTCGTCTCGAACCCAAGATTCTCTTTTACATGAATGTAGGAACGATTAATGCATATAAATTTCGAGCAAATTATATTTCACTGACGGAGCAAATGACTTAGGAAATATAAGCTGATGACCTCGCAGATTGTCGATTTTTTTATCGGCTGTAGAGAATCGCGCGAAAGGAAGAAATATGTATATTGTAAGAAGATACCTTTCGCGATCAATATAGATATTTACAGTACAAACTCTGCTTCTAGTTTATCTTTTGTGAAGTCTCGAATTTATATCTTCGTCTTCAGATTGTTAAGTTTGTTGTTGCCATGTTGACATTGTACACAAGAAAAATTGGAAACTAATTTTGATAACAGCATTTGGTTTCCACTACGCCGTGAATTGATGCAACTACGCGAGTTGCTTCCGACCGAATTTTTCGAACACCTCGCATCCGTCACGAAGAGTACGCACGTACCTGTTAGATAGAATTAAAAAATTATTAATCATAGTATGGATAGAAGAAAAGACGTAAGAAAAATTAGCGTTTGTAAACGACTTATGTCGATTTAGCTTTAACTTAAGCGGAAGGACGGCTGTTGAAGCATACATTATTATTATACGATATATATATATTGTAAACGATAGAAGTAAGACACAGGCGAACCTCACTTCTTTCGGCTAGACATAGATTTATTCCGAAAGATTTCGTTGTTACAGAAGTTCAGAAATTTATATTCTTTTTTTGCTTTCGAACCATTTTTTTCTTCGCGCAGCACCGGAGCAAGACTCGCTGTCTATTCTTCTTATCTATGAAGATATACATGTAATATATACAGGGCATTTCATCTCTCACGTTTCAAGAATATCTTAAGATATCTTGTAAAGTAGATAGAAAGATTTTATTTCGAAAACATGATAGGAGATTCTATTTTTTCTCATTGTTTAATAATTTTTTCTTGCCTTCTTAAATGTATTTGATTATACACAATTCCGAGATTTAAAGTGAAATACCCTGTATATATATATATAGATATATATCGTCCACTCCGTCTAGCTCCAGGCCTATTTTTCGTCATAAGCGGTTCGCATCTAGAATTTTTGTTAGACTTTAATCGTCGATTTTCATAAAATAAACATTACAACTTTTGAGGGCGCAAACTTGTCCCAAAACACGACCGAAATTCAACTTCGCTCATTGCAATTTATACATACATAATACCATATGTACCTAACGATCGTTTATACGAGAGAGTTTTATATATGTATATGAAAAAATAAATATAGTTTGTTATAAGAAACTATGGGTAATTGTATCGAATCTTGAAATTTGCGAATAAAAAGGGAGGAAAGGAGGGAAATTTGAAAATATGAGAGGGAGAGTAAGAGAGTGATACAGAGGGGCTTGACGGAAGTGAGGTAGAGTAAAAATTGATCATAGTGATCAATGGATAGTTCATGTAACTTAGATTCTTTTATTCAGAGTAAGAAAAAATATTTTTTATTTATCCTCTTTATTTTTATACGGCGTCGCTACCGAAAAGATCATTTCTCGTTATAACTGGAACGAGAAATATATAACAGCAATCGAAATAAATGTAATTATGCGAGCCAATGAATGCGTTTCTGGCGCAATAGAGGTGAATAAGAATTGTATCAAATTAATATAATGAA